ACCATTATTTTTTTAAATCTCTGTTCATGGGTGGTGGATGACCGTGTTTACCAATTCCGAATTAGAACAATTTCTGAACACCCCTTGACCCCTTGTTAAAGAACAGATTTGAACAGCTAATGGAGATGGGTTACAACTCGCAAAATGTTTCAAGCTTTTGGATGAAGGAGAAATATGGTTGGACTTTTTCTACATCATCATCTACATTAGGTTGTTTCAATTTTAAGGGTTGACTTGGCAATTTATCAAATTGATCTGAAATCCTATTGCCTGCTTAGTGAAATCAATCAATCCCCAAACGAACTACACAAGTTGCTAAATGATAATAACAAAGCATGACCAAGAAGAAGAAAAAAAGGTTATAGTTTGCCAGTATGAAATATACAAGCATACCTATTACTGGAAAATTTGGAAAAAGCATACCATTTATATCATCACATATTACATAAAACTCTACAAGGAAATTAGACCTTCTTTTACAAGCAAACCAAACATAAGAACAAAGAGACCAACTGCTATGCATTGAGTTGAAGACATGAAAGTCTGGCTGTAAGCAGACAATGTTATTGCTGCACCAACTATCCCAATCAGAAAGGCACTCAAGTTCTGATTCATTTCCACCTTTTGCTTTTAGTTTCAACTTTCAATCCAAATTGAGAATTGAAGAATCAAATTATTATTATAGAGGAAAACTATAGAAAGTCAACTCTTGATGAAGTTGTTAGATTATACGAATTGCCTATTGATAGTCGCATTTAGACACTATTACACCTATGTAAGTATGTGACGGTACCCAGATTTGGGTCACCCGATCATTAGAAAAATCAAGAACGAGAGTCATATATGGGTTTGGGCCCATTAACCAATCCAATACAGTTCAGTTTTAATCGGCCCTAATAACCCCAGGCCCAAAGTCCCCTAATAAGGCAAGTAATTCATTCTCCATTTAATCTTCTTCTTCTTCCATTCTCAATTTAATCCAGTGGTCTTTTGCAGGTGAGAAGATAAAGATCAAGGAATTCTTCATCTCAGTACACAACATTGCGATGTATTGGCTTACATTTGACGCTGGAAATAAACCAACTATCGATAATTAGGATAGAAATACTTGGTATAAAAGAGAACACGTAGTGGGTTTATGACGGTAAGATCATAAAGCAGATCCAACGAATGATACTAAGCGGTTAACCATTGTATATAAACGGATATAAAAACCTAATAATGCAAGCAATTTATTTGATACCATATTAAACTGTGAACAGCAACAAGAGAAGAAGAGATTGATTTGAGAATAGAACTTGTTGTATTTCTTCTATTCATTGTTGAGGTATATATACAGAAGGTATTTTGCTATCTAAGGTTACAAGAGATAAGTATCTTGGAGCTTAATCTACGGGATTATCACATATCTATACTAATAAGTCTTGATACACAAGTAATTGTGCTTTACACGTGTGTGTTGAGTATGATAAACATGACTAAGGAATAAAAAAAATTCTTTCTTTTCCTTTCTTCTTCATTCCTTTCCATTCCATCTCTTTCCTTTCCTTTCCACAACTTAAAACTTACCAAACACACCTTAGGCATTGGAATACTAATCCACTGGATAAAACCCATACCCATACCCGTGGTCTTTTGCATGTGAGAAGATAAAGATCAAAGAGTTATTCATCTCAGTAGTATACAGACATACAGTATACATTGTGGTGTGAGCTATTTGTTGGCTTACACTATGCATATATAATGACTTATATACTCTACAAGGAATGCAAATTTAATCAAACAAGTATTATTTTTTTGAACGTAATGCAACGTTTGCTATTTGCATGCATCAAAAAGTAACACTTGTATGGTGAAAGGTGAATGACAATTTTAATTGCCAGTGTTTGGTTCAAGACATCAAGACCCAGAGTCATCTGTGGTTTAATCTGACGGGCTTGTCTGGGTCTGGAACAAATTGTAAGATCCATTAATAACGAATAGTTCGGCCCAGAAGTTTCTATTCGGCCCAAAAAGGTAAGCACATACAACATACTTCTCTAACTTCTGTATATGAAACAAAAACAAGTACTAGATGAGAAGAAGAGACCTGAAACTTTTCTTAAATCAACCACTTCCACGATTTCGTCCGACCATTTCTCTTCAAAGGTCAGTAATCAAGCTTCTTCATTGTCAGGTTTGTGCTCAAACTTCCATCAAAGGTAGTTTCTTTACTGTAAAAACGTCATTTCTTAAGCCTGAAGTGTTTCATAGCAATTACAAACTTTTCTGCACAAACCAATCATTTAATGAGAAAATCAACTTGCTTTCTTCATCTGGAGACAAAATAAACACACCCCACGAAGATTTTAGTTCAATTCAGCGTTCTAACTTTGCAAGTTCAGTTATTTCGAGATGTTCATACCTTTGGGAAAAGAAAGGTGAGAACATAGATCAAGTATATTTAAGAGACATTCTTTTAAAGCTTTCTGATATAGAACCCAAATTGATTCGTAGATTTTGGAGAGTTTCTATATTGAAACCTAATGATGTTGTTGAGATATTACGGGGTTTTGAATTTGATTGTGGTGAAGCTGGAGTTGAAGCAAAAAAGGTGGGATTTTTATGGGAATTGTTTAAATGGGCTAAGGGACAGATTAAGGATTTTGAGCATTTGCCAAAAACTTATGAGATTATGGCTTCAATGCTTACCCGTGTTGGGTTGCTCAATGAAGCTGAGACTTTGGTTCGAACTATGGATGCTAGAGGAGTTCTATTGGGTGGTCATGATGTTTTCAGTAAGATAATTGAGGGACATGCTGGTGGTAGAGAGCTCAAGAAGTCGGTATTACTGTATAATTTGATGAGGAGTCGAGGTTTAGTCCCTTCGGAATCATGTTATCGAGTTCTTCTTAATCTTTTGATTGGAAGGAGCAAGACCAATTCGGCATTTCGAGTTTGTATGGATATGGTTGAAAGGGGGCTTGGACTTAGTAATGAGAATATGTCTATGTTTGAAGCTGTTGTCAAGTTACTTTGTAAAAGGAGGAAGGTTAAGGAAGCTAGAAATGTTTTAAGGA